TATCTGTACCTGTGCCATTGTAATCTGAATTCCGCTCTCAAAATTCAAGCACTCATTGGTCAGCGCAGTCATCTGGCGGCACAGACCAACAAGAAGCTCTTCTTGGCATTGCTAAATACGGCTGGAAGTGATGTAATATACATCACTTCCTGCATTCGGGGACTGAGAGGAGATCAAAGGGAGTTTGTATACTGAACTCCCTTTGATCTCCTGTCACAGAGCCGTGCCGGTCCCGGCCGCATCGGGCACAGCGGATCTCGGGACCGGCAACGGCAGTGACAGCTTCTGATACAAGTGATCGAGCGTCTCTCGAGACGCTCGATCGCTTGACTGTAAAGCTCCCGGCCGGCCGTGTAATTACAATGGCCGGCCCGGAAGCTGCTCGTCGGGCTCCACTGTCTGCTCGTCACAGACGAGTGGATTTTCGAGCCCTGTATATATATCCGGACAGGCGCTTAAAAAAGGCTTTCACCACCCCTGTGGCAATTTCAAACAGTCAGTAATGGTTGTTTACATACAAAGCGGTCGGATAGCTTGCATGTTTTTCCATTTCCTGTCCCCCTCTGCCGCAGCTGATCCAGGACTCCCTGTGCCCCATGCGGGCTTGGGACTGACACGGTGGCTCTGTGCAGGGAGATCGGAGGGAGCTCAGTACACGATCTCCCACTGATCTCCCCTCCGGTGTTCCGAATGCTGAAGTAATGTTTATGACATCACTTCGGCTTCTGTAGCCAGAGAATGACAGCTGAATACGGAACGGAAGAGAAGCTGGTAAAGCAGATCTGTGCTTTATCAGCTTATTTGGGGGTCCCCAGGTAAAATTATGAGTCTTAAAGACCCCTCATGTCTCCAAGAAGAGGACCTGTCACTGTAACTTGAAACTATAATGAAAAAAAAAAAAAAAAAAAAATTAAGTCACAAAACAATGAGTCACACATAAAAAAAATGTTAAAGTCCCCTGCCCCCCACATATACATGCAAACATGCGTTGGGTGCGCCTGTGTGCGAAAATGACAATTGTGCCCATAACACCGCACATTACATATCACCGCGAACGTCAAAGTGTAAGCAATATTTTTAGGGCCATCAATCACTGTTAAAACTCAACTGATGAGCGGTAAAAGCTTTTAAACGGGTCTCCTATGGCCAATTTTGGGTATGGTAGTTTTTTGCAATTTTGCGGCCGCGCGCAATTTTAAGGCTTTACGTGTTTGGTGTCTGTTTAACCGATGTGACCCCGTCATAAAAATGGGGTAATAATAAATGTTTCATAACTAATGTAGGAAAAGCCTTTTTTTTCCTCCCCAAAAGTTCCAGTACTTTTTGCATTATATAGTAAATAAAAACCCCAGTGGTGGTTAAATACCACCACCAACAGAAAGCTCTATCTGTCCCCAAAAAATGGTATGGGGGGGGGGTTTAACACCGCAGTCATCAAGTGGCTAAACAGGGCTATAGATTGGGACGAGAGCAGGATTAACTTGTCCTTGTTTAAATGTTAAAAGACTGGGGAGGTAGGAAGTTGTGTACTCTACTTTAGAGAACTATCATGTCAAAAGTGCATAACCCACCCATGCTGCCATATGCAGCCTCTATCTCTATAGCATTTTCTGAATCTCCATGATAAGACAAGCTTGAAAACCTCGAAACAGAAGGGGGGGGGGGGGGGACG